AGTTAATATGAAAATTAATAAGTAATTATATGGTTTTTCTTATTTTTATCTTAAAAACAAATTTATAAAGTTTCATAATATTTAAATAATTTTATATTAATTTATTAATAAAAATATGTGTTAAAAAAATTCCAGTTTTTTTTGACCACACTATATACAAAAAAAACTTGCTTTTTATTAATAAAATATTGTAATTTATTTTTTATATATTTTAATATATAAAATATATTAGCATTTTTAATCCTGAAGTATAGCCCAGACTAATATGCTAGTTTCTACCATATTTATTTAACCTGTCTTACACTCTGTTATAACTTATTATATATTTAGTACTTATTTCAGATATATTTAATATGGTTTTAATTTTTGTATATATAAATAATTAGAAAATTAAAATCAGATGCTACATGCTTATTACCTGAAGCAATTAGTGATATAATTACTACTAAGGATTCAACAAATGCATTACAAGATCTGGCTAAAAAATATAATGTACAATACAACATGATACAAAATTTTAAATATACTGTATATATTATAGATTTTCTAGATATTCTCAATTATACTTAATCTTGCAACTAGTTCCATTAAGCAATATAAAAGTTTTATTCAGAAAGTCCAGTTTTATTATATTTTTCTGGAACTATGGCTGATCCAATATCAGTACAGATTCAAGCTCAAGTTTATTGATAATGAAAACTTTACTAACTTCTATTTGCTCCTATTTCTGATCTTAAGACAGGATCAAAATTTCTATTGCACAAATTATTCCCAATATATTAAGCTTGCTAATAGGATTATATATTTCCATATCAGATGTATTATCAATTTTTAAGCCTATTATTTTTGCTATACTCTCGCCTATAATATTACAATTAGCATCGGAATCTAGTATAACTGTTACTAATACTTTATGACTTGTAGTATTGCTCAAGAGCCTAATTTTGCAAGATAAAATTTTCATTGTGATGTTTTATTATAATATATATTTAATTCTGTATTTTTAAATTCGTATTAATAAAAAAGTTTAACTATTATAATGACTAAAGCAGATAACAATATAGAGCCAGTTTATTAGCAGATCAGGGATAGCTAAAATTTACAAAAGAATAATGATAATATTGTATCAGTAATAGAACCATTGAAAAAAAAATTAATAATTATTAATGGTAAGGATACAGAAGCTGTTTATGATATAGGTGGTCAATATTCAACTATTACATATAAAAAGGCAAAAGAGCTAGATTTGAAAATAGAACCCTCACCTTGACTTGATAATATTGTTAGGCAAGTATTAGATAGAAAAATTTTGATTTCTCTCTATCAATTACTAGAGATAATAAAGCCCAAGATTTGTCAAGAACTTATAAATGCAATAGCAAACCTGATATTCCTTGAAGAAATCATATATAGTACAAAGCTAAAAGAAAAAAAAATTTTAAATAATATCATATTTGAGTTATTATCCAAATCTTCATCTGACTCTAGTTTTGAATTGTCTAGTGATAATGAAAATTTTACTATAGGTGTGATGAAAGCAAAGAAACGTAGTTAGTCTTTATTAAAGATCTGAAATAGTTTTGCTTACTCTAGAGATTGATTTTTTCTGCGATAATTTACTATAACATAATTTTATACTGGAGAAGTATGATTGTCAGGATTGTGATATAAACATTCTCTAGTGATGGTATAAGCATGGGCCATATTCTTAGCCTCATATGCTATTACACCATAAACAATACACATTTTTATAAGTATTTAAGAATTAAATCATAATCTTTTAAGAATCTATTGAACTATTTAACTCCTGGCTTATCTGGATTATTAATTCGTCTAGATGATATAGTATGCTGAATCCAAGTGAGTAGTTCTTTGGCTCGTTCTTGATTTTTTTCTATAGATCTAAATTTTCTGTGAATATCTGATTGACCTCGATTCTTTATATAACCTGTCACTCCAGCATCTGTAATATGTAAAGTTTTAAGTTCAGCAGAACGAATACAAAACATCATCATAACATCTGCAAGAGTCTAATAATCTGGTGAAGTTTTTAAATCATACATATTTAATCTTTCTTTGACTGATTCTAATGTAAATTCATTTGGATAATTAATAGGATTAGCTTCGACTTTTTTCTGATTATACTTTTGGATTTTGTTAACTTCTTTTGTAATATCTGAAAATTCTATGATCTTGATTACTTGAAATGGGACATTAAAATTTCTTGACTTTCTTCAAAGCTGAGAAAGGCATGATGAACTCGCATTGGTATTTTTTGCTAATAGGGCTAAGGCAAAGGCTTCAGTTCTTATATCCCGAATACCAAGCTTATTCCATAAAAGCTAATGCACCATCTCTTCAATTGTTTCTCATATGACCCAATCTTTTAAAAAAAAGAGACTTTATCTCTTAGAAATAAAAATATTTACTGTGGAACAGGGCACTTTGTATGTAGTTTTGCTTTTTGATTGAACATTTTTCTAAATAGAAAGTTGACATAAGTCACTTTGCAAAGCAAATAAGTTACTTACTAAACCCATATCTATTTTGCAAGATTTGTTTTGTTATTTTTTTAATAATTTCTTTTTTCAGATTTTTTGTAGGTGAAGCTATAGCTATTTTATAATCTTTTTCAACTAAATTTATAGTTTTATTTTTTCCACTTCTTTGATTAGATATTAATATACCTATTTGTTTACTGATAAATTTAAAACTATCCCAAAGATATCTTTGTGCCTGATTCCTTTTTCTATTATCTGTAAAGTTTTCAAGAAACTCTGAGATACTGTATATTTACTGAGATTCGATATATTTATCTCAAGGATAAAATTGTATTTTTCAATGATTTTAGTTATGATGGTTGACATAATCTAATGTTATAGTAGGTTGAGTAGTTTATGAACAATTCTTTAGATTATATATACTATAAAAAATATTATTCTTATTCTTCTTATACTTAGAGATATAAAAAGACATTTTATCTCATTATGATTCCAATTAATTTAAATACATATTTCATTATAAAATTAAAAGTGAAAGAGAGATTTATATCCTAAAATACTTTTACTTTAGTGTCTTTTATTATGGCTCGCTTTACTTGCACACATATTAAGAAAAATAACACTATTTGTGGAAATAAGTGCTATGACTTCACCAGGTGCTATAGGCACTGGAAATTGTATATAAAAAATATAGAAAAAAAACTCTGACTTGTTAGCGATTGTTCTAAATATACTCTTTTTACTATAGGATGTTGTCCTGATCATTTGAGTAGATTTCATTTGCTAAATTATCAGATGAGACAAAAGTATAAGATCTCAGCCCTTCAATCCACAAAAACATCTGAATTATTGAATGAGGCTCTTCAACCTGCAGTGGCCTATGAATTATCAATTGAGGCCCATCAACCCACAGAAACCTATAAATCATCAGATGAAAACAACTTATTAAATGCGTTAGGATTATTTAATTGAGACCCTCATTTCACTTCAACTCAGAATCCCCAATGCTCCAATTTTCGAGCTGAGTGATATGGTTAGATCCCTTCAACCTAGAATCTATGAAGCTCTGGTTTTTGAGTTGGATAATGAGAATATGGATATTAACCTCTTTGGAAATTAGTAGGCAGCTCGAAACTTAATTATCTGCTGAGGAATGAGAAAAAATATTATTTCATTCATTAGTCAAGTATTTAAATCTGATAGCATGTTTTTTTGATAGTACATAGTTGGGTAGTCTTCTTCTATTATTTTATATTAATATTATGAAGAAGGCTATCCTTCATGAAGAATAATATTAGCATATATCAAATAAATCCTAAATATCTTCTGTAATTTGACGATGTTCTGCTTGCAGGATCTGAAAAATATTTTGCCAACTTTTTCTAGTAATAATCCATCAGAAGTAAGTTTACTATAAACATATTAGGCATCTTCTCCATTATCACAATATACTTTTTCCCAGTCTGATATAAAGGTAACTTGGATGCATTCTCGCTATAAAATAAGCCAACTAAGTGATATTGTGTATACTTTTTATTAGTAGTTTTAAATTTCAGCCCATATGTTGCATATAATATTGAATTTAATAAGCTGGGTTTCACCTTATCCATTTTTAATCCTGATTTTTTTGCACTACATGATGCATCAGTATTATTAAACACTCAAGCCATTTTAGGGACTAAACCTTGGAGATATAATATTGATTTAGAAGAATCAATACATATTTTAACATCATTAGCTTTATATCATATTCTATTATTGATATCTTTAGCAGATGTACAATTCATTAGTAACTCTAAACAAATTTGATGTCTTTCAGCTCGGGTAGTAATTGTAAGTCTGTTTTTCCTATAATCTTTACAAGTGATAATTTTAACAGCCATTTTATTATTAATGCCAGTATCTCATAACTGTTTATAAGCTCTAAACCATTTTATATGATTATAATTCCCATATTTCGATATGAATTCTTTAATTAATAATTCAGGTGAGATCTCATAAAATTCTACAATATGATGCCAATTTAAAGATTATATTTTCTCTAAAGTCTTCTTTGGCTTATTTTCCAAAACCTTAGCTATCTTATGATCAAGAATACATGTATTTGATATATCTGAAATTTCTTCTACTTTAATAATATATGAACTCACATTTACTGTCTGGGATAATAATATTATATTATCTTTAGATTTAGGAATAGGTTCTATAATAGAAATTATCATATTTACATTTTGGAGAAAACTAACTATCCTCCAATCAAATAAGCATCTGGAACAGAATTTTTCCAACGTATATGCTACCCATAATTGAATAGTTAGTATATACTTAGTCCGAATAATAAAGTTGATATCCAGAAATATTTTTCTATTTTGAAGTTCTTGAAGAAGACATATACGTTTAGTATTCAACAACCATCAAAATAACCTATTTTCTATAATAGAAACATTAGATGATTTTTGCTCGATATAACATACTGTATATAATCTTTAAGGCACCGCATAGAAAATAATAAGATAGATAAAAGAAGTATAGCTCTAATTAGTTCTCAACTAACTAGTGAAGCTGAAAGATATTTTCAAATAAAGAGGTATTATAAAGTAATAACATCTGATTTATTTCAGCATTTGTTTCTATATAGCTATTAAAGAGACAAAATGCTCACTCAAAATTAGGATTGGTGCAAGACATACCTATCTTTAGAGTACTAGTATAGACAACCAGGTCTATGTCTTTTCATGATTCTTCTACATTGCTGAAGTCATAAGCCTTTTTTACTGGATCAGATTTACTATAATATTCCTTGATCTGTAATTCTAAAAAGTCAGTCTTAAGAGCACAAACAATCACTTGCACATCTTTTCTGAAATAGCAGATAAGCAAAACGCTTTTCTGATTCTCAAAAGATAGTGAAAAAATTTGCTTGGCCCAATCCCAAAGTTCAGCTAACACAGTTTTTTAATTGAAAGCTAAGTGAAACATCTTATCTTTCTGAGACTGGTAAGTATTATAAATAATGAAGAAAGATATATTCTTGCAAAGAGCCTTAATCCATTCAATATTAAGGTCTGTTAAATCATTATTTATAACAATAATGTGCCTAGCATTTTTGATTAATTTATATAATTTTTTTATTAATTTTCTGGTCAAATGACTTTGTATCTGAGTAATTATAGATACAATTTCATCAAGCCACAAGTCATATTGCACTGGATGGCATTTATATTTTTTATTACATTTATATTTATTAGTAATATGATGTAAACTTTCTATTTGACATACTACATTCTTGTGATCGGATAGATTATATTGCTATCGATATTACAATATGATTTGAGATTTAGTTTAGTAGTAATAGCATTTGAGTAAAAGTGTTGTATGGATAGTACTAGCAAATTAACATCATCGGCTATAATAAGATATTTGAGAACAAATGGTTTTCCAGTTTCTTAGAATGAGTCTACATAAATATCCCCTTCATCAGATAGTGGCCTTACATATCTTTCCTCATATGTTTCTGTCACTATAAAAGCTTCATTATACTTAGTCCAGGATGGCAATTTTACAAAAGCACTTGGGAAACCTGGGCCTTTTATCTTGCGAATGCTAGATGATGAAGACAAATTTTTATTTTTTTATCTAATTTTTTCTGTGATAGATGGGTCATATTCCAAAATGTTGCCAGGTTCATCACTACCTTGCCAGAAGCATTTTACAATAAATATTCCACTGCTGACATATATATGACCAAACCACTGCTGATTCTTGTCATATATACGTTTACATAGTGGACATTCTAATGGATCTTTTTGATTGAAATAAATGAAGTTTTCCAAGTTCTTTTCTTCTATAATCTAATCTCTAAGATAGTTAGAATGTTTTTGCAAAACAAGGTTCACATATTTTTGCAATATATCCTGACTGTAAAAGTCTTAATAAAATTATTAGTGATTTTAAAAGACAGTGAACTTGAGCAATTATTATTTTAATGCCAACAGAGTTGGAATTTTATTAAGGTCAAAAGAGCATCCTTTTATACATGTTGGCTTCATACAACGTAAAAATACATAATAAATAAATATAAAAATACATATACTGTATCTATATAAGGCTTAACCTCCGGAGACATATGTACTTAATTAATATAAAAAAATATAAAAGAAAATAAAAATAAAATAATATAAACAATATGCACACTCTATGGCCTTATGCCTCTAATTTGGTTACATTTACTCATAGTAATTAATTAGTGGCGTCTTGGCGGCATGACACATCATCAGGGGTCAGAATCGCACCATACATATGTCTGACAAGTGTCTAGGAGTGTGTCTTAGACTTGCAGATCGTCAGGACGAATCAGATACCTTCTGGGGCATCTGGGTCGCTAGGCACAGTATGGGTCCCGTGGCGCATTCATAGGTCAAGATTGTTACATTTTCCTCTCCTTAGAATTCGATGTTCTCGTCAGCTCAAATTCTTGTAGTTTCTCTCGAGCATTGGTGAGATTTTCTTGAGGTTCTCAGGTGGCATCATATAATGGGTATCCAGTCCATTTGACAAGATATTAGGGCTTGTTTCGGACAACTCGTTTGTCCAGAATGGTTTTCACTTCATACTCTTCTGTCCCAGTCTCAGGGATATGGATGGCTGGTGGTAGTGTTGGTCTTTCGAATTCCTCTGGTGATGGCTTGTATTGCTTCAGCAGAGAGACGTGGAACACAATATGAATCTTCAGGATGGCAGGCAGTTCCAACTTGTACGCAGTTTCTGAGATTACCTTGGTAATGGTATATAGTCCGGTGAACCTTGGTGTCAACTTTTTTGTGGGGCGGTTTCGATCTATTGGGCTGTTGAAATTACGCAGTGAGAGTAACACTTGGTTTCCTTCTTTGAATGTGAGGTGTTGTCGATGCTGATTGGCATACTTTACTTGGCAGTCTTGTGCTTCCATCAGGGTGTCTTTAGCAATCTTGATTATAGTGTTCCAATGATACATAAAGTCATCGGCAGTTGGTACAATTGTTAATGTCGCAAGGGTCAGAGGCGTTTTTGGGTGTTGTCCACAATCTAACTCGAATAGTGTGAATCCTGTAGAGGCTTGTTTGGCATTGTTATAGGCAAATTCTGCAGCAGGCAAGTATTCGTTCCATTGGTCTTGTCTGTAGGTGGCGTATATGTGCAGTATTTCTTCAAGAGTCCTATTGAGTCGCTCGGTTTGTCCATCTGTTTGGAGGTGGAATGCTGTTGACATGGCTGTTTTTATACCTAGTTGTTGAAACAAGGCTTGCCAAAAATGGCTGGTGAATATTGTATCCCGGTCTGACACAATAGTTCTCGGCAGTCCATGGTGTTTAAAAATCTCAGAGAAAAATATCTTGGCGACTTCAGGAGCTGTGGCAGTGATATTCATGGGACAAAAATGTGCTCTTTTGGTCAAGCAATTAACAAACACAACAATAGCATTGTGACTTCTCTTGGTCAGTAGTAGTTGGACAATGAAATCCATGGTGACTTCTTCCCATCTTTGGGTTGGGGTTGGCAGTGGTTGGAGGAGTCCGGCAGGCTGTTGGTTGCTTGGTTTGTTTCACTGGCACAAGTCACATGTTAGCACATATTTTCGTATGTCCTTACCCATCTTGGGCCAATAATATGTTTTCATAATGGCATCCAGGGTCTTGTAAATTCCTGGGTGTCCGGTGATATCTATGTCGTGGTGTTCCCTAAGAATGTGACTTCTCAACGTCTTGTCCTTAGGGATGGCTAGGTGATGGTCTTTCCTCAGGTAGATGCAGTTGTCCTCCAATTCATAGTACTTGGCACGGGCTCATTGTTTCTCAGTGGCTTGGTGTGGGGCTTCTAGGGTGGCTTGTATTGGGGCAAAATATTCATCGTTGATGTATCTTTTTTCAAAGGCTTGGTCATCCACTAGTTTGATACTTAACACAGTTATAGTGACCAGGTGTGGCTGTCTTGAA